CAAGTTACTCTATTTAAAATGTAATAGCAGTGTAACTATTTCAATTACTATATGAAAGTAATGTAACTGATTACATTTGATTACTTTTTGATTACTTTTCTAAATTATGAATGAATATTCTCAACCGTTAACCATTTATAAATAAAACCTGGTAGTGTTTACCTTACAGCAGTACTAAACACTGACTACTGAGATGGTGGAATTAGTACAGGATTGTTTTTTTACTCAGTTTGTTAATACCCCTACCAGGAGAGAAGCCCTTCTTGATCTTGTTTTCTCTAATAACTAGGATAGGATTGGAAAATTAGAGGTTTTAGAACCATTGGACGGTAGTGATCATAACGTGGTTAAATTCAAGGTTAATTTTAGTGGCAGAAGAGCAAAGTCGAAATTAAAATATACAATGTTAGGACGGCTAACTTTAATGGTATGAGACGGAAACTAGAAACTCTAAACTGGACGGAGTTAAATAGCAAAACAGTTGAAGAGGCATGTGAATTTTTTAAAAGCACATTGTTGCAAGTGCAAGAGGACTTCATACCTGCTTCCAGCAAAACTAAATCTAGGAAACGACAACCAAGTTGGTTTACTAAGGAAATTATGAATAAAGTCAGGAGGAAAAGGGCTCTGTTCCACAATTGGAAAATAACTAATGATTTCAAAATTAAGCAGGAGTATCTAAGTCTACAGGTATACAGAGTTAAAAAATAACATTAGACTCGCCAAGAGGGATGTAGAAAGAAAAATTGCATTGGAGGCTAAAGATAATAATAAAAGTTTCTTCCAATATTTTAACTCCAAAAGAGCTCTAAAAGCTGAAATTACTAATTTGCAGGATAGTAAGGGCCTTATAATTGAAAATGAAATTGATATAGTAAATGAGTTTAATGATTATTTTTTCATGGGTGTTCACAGTAGAGAACACAAGTAACTTACCACCAATGAGTACGAATACAGCGTCGTCTATGAGCAATATATGTACCGTATAACTGAGGCTGATGTGATACTAAGCCTAGCTAAACTCAAAATAAATAAATCGCATCGCCCTGATGGCATCTTACTTATAGTTTTAAAAGAGATGAGGGATAT